ATCATCAACATCAACAGCATCATCATCATCATCGTCGCCGTCACTACCAACATCATCATCGTCGTCATCATCAGCATCACCATCACCATCACCATCGTCAGCATCAGCATCATCAACCTCATCATCATTATCAGCATCGGACGCATAATCATGCTCACCACCACCATCATCATCAGCATCGTCGTCGTCATTCGTATCATCATCATCATCATCGTCATCATCGTCATCATCATCACCATCAGCAGCATCAACATCAACACCAGCATCATCATCAGCATCATCAGCATCAGCATCAGAATCAGCATAATCATCATCAAGCTCATCATCAACACCATCGTCATCAGCATCATCACCATCAACCGCATCATCATCGTCTTCGGCGTCGTCATTACTACCATCCTCATCATCGTCATCATCAGCATCAGCATCACAAGCATCAGCATCAGTATCATCATCGAAAGCATAATCATCATCTTCACCATCATCAGCATCATCGTCATCATCATCATCATCATCATCATCATCATTATCAGCATCGACGTCGTCATTCGCATCATCATCATCATCATCGTCATCACCATCAGCACCATCAACATCAACATCAACATCATCATCAACATCATCAGCACTACCATCACCATCATCACTGTCATCATCATCATCATCATCATCATCATCATCATCATCATCATCATCATCATCATCATAAGCATCGTCATCATCGTCATCAGCATCATCATCACCAGCATCACAACTATCATCATCATCATCACCAGCATCACAACTATCATCATCATCATCATCATCATCATCATCATCATCATCATCATCATCATCATCATCATCATCATCATCATCATCCCCATCACCTCCTCCCCATCCTCCTCCTCCTCCTCCTCCTCCTCCTCCTCCTCCTCCTCCTCCTCCCATTCCCCCTCGTCCTCCCACCTCACCCACATCCCCGTTCACCCCGCTGTCCTCCTCCTCCGCCTCCTCCTCCTCCGCTCCTTCCTCCCCTTCCCCTCCTCCTCCTTTCCCTCCTCCCCTCCTTCCCTCCCTCCCCTCCTCCCCCTCCTCCCCCCCTCAACCGTCCCCCCCCCCCCTCCTCCTGCTGCCTCGCCCACATCCCCGCGGCCGCGGGCCAGCGGCCAGCCGAGCCGCGGCCGAGGCAGACCAGCAGCCAGAAACCATGACCCAGGCAGAAATACCGAGGCGCCTGCAGCGGAGGCCACTCCACAGGATACCTCCCACAAGGAACCTTTCACAAGAGCCTTCCACATGCCAGAAAACTCGTCCCCAGACTATTTTTGACTATATTTTTGAATATCCCTCCTGCACGAGGACATGCCCGACTTAGTGGTAGAAGGGCAGGAGATCCCCCGCACGATAAGCACCCCTGCAAGCGAAGCCTTTTTGGCAAGCTCGCCCAAAAAGGAAATCGCACAGGGCAGGGTTGGGTAGCATATGCCCAGGGTTCTTCAGTGCAGCGGACGCTAGTCCACAAGAAACCTTCCACAAGAAACCCAATCCTGAGACCCCAGGGCGTCCATGGATTTTTGGTGTGGAAACGCCACGCCTCCCACAGCAACGCCATCGGATGCCAGAAGCCCAGGGCGCCCTGGTGGCAAGCAGGGTGTTTCTTGGCATGGGCCTCCACTATACTATAACCTTGAGATCTTGGCGGCTCAATTGTTTCGGGCCTGGCGTGTTCGCCCGGTTTCGGGCCACGGGACCCTCTCGGATCGATCAGGATCAAAAACTGGCGCAGAGAGAGAAGGTCTAGGCTTCCGGTCGTGATTTTCACAATGTTCCAGTTTTGGTCGCGAGGTCGGATCTAAGGGAAGACGAAGCCCGGACAAGGATGAAATCGGACAAGGATAAATCGGGAGACTCAGATATCTGGCGGTTCTGGAGGACGTCACGGACGCCGCGGCATTCTCGTAACGTTTTCCGGAACGCTCCGAGAGAGCTCTGGAACGCTCTAGAACTGAGGAAACCAAAAGGTACCGATACCGCTACTCCCCGAACCTCTCCTGGGGTGCGTACGGACCCAGATTTCGAGGCGAGCTCAACGGTGGCGACGAGGGCCTCCCAGGAGGCCCAACACGAAGAGAGCGAGGCAAGGGCAGGGGTACGATCACCCAGCTCTTTTCAGCGACTGCATCCTTGCCACCCGAAAGGAGCCCTCCGTGTCCGTGTGCTGGTCCTCGTCCCCGTTCGGCTAGGCGCAAGATTGACCTTTGGGTAAGAGCGACCTGTGGCGCGCGGCCTTTTCGAAGGGGCCCAGGGACACACAAACAGATACACACAAATAAAAAGATTCCCCAGATTTTCCCATACTGTCTGGGTCTCTGTCCTCCCCCCCACTTCCCATATCTTCCCATATGTTCGGGGGCACCGAGGGTGAATTGTGTCTGTGTATTTCTTTCCCTCCTGCAAGATTGACCTGACTTTGGGTGAGAGCGACCTCTGGTGCGCGGCTCCTTCGGGAGGCCGCGGGGGGCCACGCCCGCGCACGCAAAAGACGCTGCTGTGGCGGCGCGCTCGCGGGCGCGCACCGGAGGTCATCCTAGCGAAGGTTCACCCTTACGTTTACAGGGCAGGTTTTAATACGTAGGACTGTCAACATATAGGAATTTTAATACATGATTAATTTGTGAATAAATGAATGCATAAACTCATCCTTACGTTTACCGGGCCGGGCAAAAGGGGGGGATAGCAAAGGGGGGAGGTTTGAGAATCAGCTCAGGGAGCTGCTTTTCCCGGCGCCTCCCGGCGCCGGGTGGCGCCCATGTATCGAGGAAGGGGCCCCTCGGTGGGGCCGAAGCCAGCTGCATGCAGCAAATGTCGTAACCCCCCCATTCCCAATCCCCCCCCCGAGAGGTCACTCCGGCGAAGGTTCACCCTTACGTTTACGTAGTTCCTATCCTTCTTAAAGACCACATCCCAGAAATAATTTCGAGCACCCAGAAAAGTGCCAAAAGAGTGTCAAAAGAGTGTCGAAACGGTGTCGGGCGAGTGTCTCCCAGGGCCCGACACGTGAAAACCCTTGAGCTTCGGCACTTTTTCTGGCGCTCGAAATCATTTCTCTTGGTCCAGGCTAAAGGAAGTTGGAGCGCAGCAGAGGTCACTCCAGCGAGGGTTCACCCTTACGTTTAAGTCGGACGTGTCCCCCTACAGGGGGATTTTGGCCGAAAAATGAAAATACTCAGACAATACCCCACAGATGCTCCAAAAATAGACAAACCATCGTCCCTGGACTACTTGTTGACTAATCTTTGAAGATTCCCCCTGTGGAGGGGCACGCCCGACTTGACCTTACGTTGGCGGCGCGCAGAGGGGGGTAGGGGTAGGGGGGAAGGCCTCTTATAGAAGGAGGCTGCTGCTTAGAATGCGCGGGCCTCACATCTACAGACAGGGCCCGCGCCTTCTAAGAAGCAGCGGTGCTTCTAAGAAGCCTCCCCCCCTCCCCCTACCCCCCTCTCGGGAGCGGCCAAGAGGGGGGTGTCCAAGAGGGGGGGATGCAAATCATGACCGCGGGGGGGCCAGGGACGTAATGAAATCATAAGAGGCGCCATGAAATCTGGGGAAATATCATGGCCACCGCCATGATATCCCCCCCCCCCTAGTCATCACCCCCCTCTTTTCCGCCCCCGACCCTCTGCGCGTGGCCGACTACGTGTAGTCGGCCCGTCCGCGTCCTCCCGCGAGCGGGGCGCCCCCCACCCGCCGGGCGCGCCCCGGCCGCCCTGGCGCACCCGAACGGGAGGACCCCGGAGCCATGCCTGGCGCACGGCACCGCTCCCCTTTCCCAGAGGTCCAACGCACAGAAAAGATCAAGACGGTGGTTTTTCGCATCAGTTTCGCACGTTTCGATGTCGCATTTTTCGTATTTTTCGGCCTCGAGGGGCCCTCGCCAGGCCCCGGAGCCGTCAAAAGACGCTCGGGATGAAAAACCGGTCCTGGGCAGTGGGTCGAGACTTCCAGGGACCTCGTATTGGAAAAATCACGACATCAGATCTCTGGGTTCTGGATACCCATGCCGAGGCTCTTCGAGCGGGGCTGGCCTTCGAAAGTGGTTGAGGATGGGCCGAAGATGACCGAAGAGGCAATGATGCAAGGGTACCCTTGGGAAGTCGCTCATCCTTACTGTGCGGGTTGACTGTACGGCATCGTTCCCCTTCTCCCAATCTGGACCACAAAACCAACGACGCCACCCCACCTACGGCCCCACGGGGCTCAGCGTCTACCAGGAGATCCGGCGTGAGCGTTTGCGTGGTGTACGCGCTACGGCGCCCGATGGGCCGCAGCGCAGCATGGAGGGCCGTAGGCGGGGTGGTGTCGTCCGTTTTTGGTCGATCATCACCATCCCCGCTCTTTTCGTTTCTTTCTTTCTCGGTGGCTTCAAGATCCCTGGTGATCTAACCGGTATTGCTGTAACTCGTGAGCCAACCACGCCAACGCCCGAAATGCAAGCAGTTCCGTTTGGGACACCGTGGCGTCAACCGGGGCGTGCACACCTCCAGCACGCCACGGCTTATGCAGAATTGCCCCCCGTTCTACGCCATGTTGCTCATCCTTTCTAGGGCTCCCAACTTCGCGCTTCGCGCTCCGCGAAGCGCGAATAACTTCGAGCTCTCGCGCCGTCCCCTCGAAAGGGAGAAAAGGAGGACGAGGAGGAGGGGGCGAAGGAACGAGGACCGCGGAGCGCGAATAACTTCGCGCCCTCGTGGGAGCCCTTGCTTATGCAGAATCGCCCCCGCGTTCTACGCCATGTTGCTCATCCTTCGCTTCCTCCTCCCAGGTCCCCGGCCCCCGCCCCCCTCGTGCCTCCCTCGTGCCTCCCTCGTGCCTCCCCGTCCTCGTGCCTCCCCCTCGTGCCTCCCCTCGTGCCTCGCCTCGTGCCTCCCCTCGTGCCTCTCTTGCCCCCCTCCTCTCTTGCCCCCCCTCGTGCCTCCCCGTCCTGCAGCACCTCCTCCTCCTCCTCCTCGGCCCGCGTCCTGGGCAGTCAGCCGCTCCAGGCGCTGCTGCATGAGCCTCTGGAGTCCTGGGCAGGACGCAGGGGCGACGACCCTCCCCCCCCCATTATTCCTCTTCCTCCTCCTCCTCCTCCTCCTCCTCCTCCTCCTCCTCCTCCTCCTCCCCGCCCGTTTGTAGACTGACGCGCGGCCCTCCCTCCCTCCTCTCTGCTCCCTTCCTCTCGTCCTGCCTGCCTCCTGCCTCCTCCCTCCCTTTTCCCTCCTCCCTCCTCCTCCGCCTCCTCCTCTTTCGCATTTCTCTTCCTTTTCCTCCTCCTCCTCCTCCTCCTCCTCCTCTTCTCCTTTCTCCTCCTCTTCTCCTCCTCCTCCTCCTCCTCCTCCTCCTCCTCCTCCTCCGACCCCCCCCCAGGAACCACCGAGAACCTTCCAAATCCGCAGAGAACTTCCAACCCCCCAGCCCGAAAACGTGAATGGATCTGCTCCTCCTGCAGCCCCCCGCCCCTTTCCTGGCCCTCCTTCGACCCACTAGGGAGTGAACGAAGGCCTGGGCGTTTTCAGCGACGTTGGACACGCACCGCGCCAGCGCCAGCTCACGCGGGAGGCCGAGGAAGGAACATCGGGGGAGAAAGAAAACAACAACAATAAAGAAATCTGCCGCGCATTTGGCTGATGGAATGGCTCGGGGATTTCCCAGGGCCAAACGGAAGCACTACAGTCGGCCTTCATTGGACAGGACATGCGAGAGGACAAAAAACCCTTCCGAGGGCCACATTGCCATAAAAATGCAGGAGGCATGGGTCGCGAGACACAGGACACAAAGGCACCCTTGATTTGGCAAAATCGACCTACTAATCCGGGCAGACTGCAGGAACGGTGTCAATCAGGGAAGATCCCACAACTGATTCCCCTTTCACGGCCAAGGGATTGCCGGGCTCAGAAGAACTCTGGACCCACTCAGAAGTATGATTAGGTCGGGCCTGTTCCCCTACAGGAGGATCTTGGACGAAACATAAAAAAACAAAAATATATTCAATCAGTGCGCAAAATGTACCTCAACATAATAAAACATAGTCCGCCGACTATTGTTTGACTATTTTTTGCATTCCCCTTGTAGAGGGACAGGCCCAATTTAAAAGTATGAGCACGTGGAAGTTCGGATGCATCACGACTTCACCTGTGACATCGCCCAACACATCGATTTCAATTTCGTGGTTCTGATCGTCAATCGCCCAGGGGAAACATAGATTCGCATTCCACATGCGTTCTTTCGAACGAATTTGCCCTGCACGCTGCTCCACGCCAAAGAGTTCTTGGGCGATGTCGCGCACGAAAATCAAGGTCCCACAAGAGCCATAAAAATATGGCTTTGCCGGGGAGCTGCATTTATCTGGGACCGCGACCCTCCTGGCCTCAACCGAGAGTGATCGGAAACCTACGCAGTTGGGAACGGACAGAAGAGCAAATAATTGGACACATCCAAGACACACGCAGTGGTTCTTATGACTCACTAGGTGAGAGGTTGCGAGACCCTTCGCCCTCTCGAAATGCTTCTACATTTCCTCATCGGTCCCGTCTCATGTCCGTTAGCACTATCACTGCTACAGCCGCACATCGTCCTTAATTAAACCTCACACAACCGCGCGAAATAATCATGTCGCGCGGGCGGTTTCTCCGGTCGACTGCCATCCTTCAACGCCATAAATGCCACATCATCGCTCTGTAGGCGCGCGAGAATTGGAATTAGATCGACGGTTCTGCCGCCAGAGAACAGTTTCGACAACTTCAACTTCGCTGGCTCCCGATATCGCCGAAATCATTCTGCGAAGCCGCGATGTTGTCCAATACCACGCTCCGCCAATGGTTTTCCGCAGTAACGAACGCGTCGTCGGGGTCGTAATCTTCAGGTCCAAGCCCGCAGCGATGAATCTGCGGGGGCAGCAAGCAACCACAACCACATCGAGGTTACACCCTGGGGGATGTCTTGCGCATGCCAAAACTGCTGAAATCCCGAAGCCAGCTTCGTACTGGTCGTGGTCGATGTGGCGTCCCAGGACGACCAAATCGACCACAACCACAACCATCGTGCTCGTGCCGAGGTCGGTGGGCTCTCCGCCGAGGGCCCGAGGGGCCCTTCCGGAAAATCTACAGTCGGGGCGTTGACCTAAGGAACCCTAAATAAGGCACGAGGCCCCTTTTTTTCCATAAGTTAAACTTCGATTTCCGATCGAAAACCTTGGGAAAAAATTGAGGCAAGCTGCGAAACACTTGAGGAACACGGAGCCCCTCCCCAACGAAAAGGGTTCCTTCTTCAAGACCCTTACTGTATCTAGTCGTAACTGTGGTTCCTTGTGGCGCGCGGAGAACCGGAACCTTCTGGCGCCTGGCGAGCCGCCGCGCGGGCCTCTCGCACGCGGCACCTTCGTTGGTTCACGCGCTCCGTTCGCAAGATCCACGCGCAACGCTTGGGAATTCTGCCTCGAGGGTTGACTTAGATATTGGCGGCCAACCGGCACATGCTCCGACGGATGGAAAATGCGAGCCCTCCAGTGCACATGAAACTCGGGCGCGCGGCCCCGACGACAGTTAACACATTGGAAAGTTGCCGCGCGCCTCCTCGGTGACCGCCTGCAAAGACACGCCGCAACTGCACCGCCTCCCAGGACGTAGACCCCCATGTAACCACACGCCTCCCATGCCCTGCATCCGGACGTAGTGTACGGCGTGGTCGATCAACACCTTGCAATGGGCGCTCGACGCTGAATCTCCCTTAAGTTTTGAAAAATGTTTTGCGAACTACTTCTTGCGTCTGTATCCGCATTCCCCAGAGTACTGAATCAACGTGCTGAGGTTAACGGTATCGACGAAAGAGCCTGCGCCAGTCGCCATGCCGACCTCGATGCGCGCTCTCAACGTCATCCCCGCATCATTACCGAAGACATCGTGAGCTTCAGGATCCGCGTCGCTCTCCTTGGCTGGATTCCATGTGCCACTCACGCCTCGACATTCGGCGAGGCGTGCAGATCTGCAAGACGGTTGAACTTGGCCGCGTCGAAGTCGTCTCGGTAAGAACCCGTTCCAAGTGCATCTGCCGTGGACAAATAAAAGGCACGCCTTCACGCAGCGCGTCATGTCGTCAAGACCCGAGGCCTTCTGCGCAACGCCTTGCATCTTCTGAGGACCAGGTGAGGTACGGGATCCCTGTAACACGCGATGATGAAGCATCCGCGGATGCGTGACAGTGGCCGCAGGCAACAAATTCAACGCGGCCGCCTTCTTGTAAAATATGTCAACGTTAGATCTCGCCTGGAACACCACCAAAGCCAGGAACAAGGGATTGACACAACTAGGTTCCATTGAAGTGACCAGCAGGGACTGCACACTAGAACGAATATAAAACCACATAAGAGGGAGCTCAAGAGACTGGCGACAACAAAACTAAACAAAGAGCGGTTGAAATAAATGAGAACTAAACTGGGCCATGACAGCTTAATAAATTGTGCGAGGACGAAGGAGAAATAGTTAGGAAGAGCAGACAGGACGTAACCAACCAGAAAGGCACATATGCTGTAACAACAGAGAACAGGCAAACAATGGCTCACCACCCAAACACAGTTTCCACTAGAAGTCACCAACCGGACTGTGCAGGGATGACAGACCACAAACCACTCGAGCAGGAAATCATGAACATGATATGAGGACGTCAGACATAAACAAAACGACGAGCAACATGCAACTGGCGTGAGGCTCCGATCTTGGGGCCCTGAGCAAGGAGAGGAGTCACGGAAACCTCTTGATCAAGTGTGATGGTGGGGCGGATGGCGAGAAAGAGGAAGAATAGGAGCCGGGAGGGGGGTCTGGAGGATGTCTCCCCGCCCTGAGTGTTAGGGTTAAGTCGGGCCTGTCCCCCTACAGGGGGATTTTGGGCGAAAAATGAAAAATACAAGAAATGCGCTACCGAGGAACCCCACATACTTATATCATGGCTGGAATGATGATAGCTGAAGTGAAGCATGTGAGAATGATGTTGGTGGCCGTTGCCCCGCCGATACCGTTGGTGACGTCATTCAGGAGGAGAGGTGAAGAGGACAAGCGCCGCGCCAGCCACACTTTGCGAGCCCGAAACAGATAGCGACCGCACCCCCAAGGCACCTCCTTGTGGCGTCGAGAAAGTGCCACGCCTGCTATGCCCTGGACGACCGTCGTGCATGGTGGCCGCGGTGAGGGACCACCCCCTGCGCACCCCCTGTGGTGTCGAGAAAGTGCCACGCCTGCTATGCCCTGGACGACCGTCGTGCATAGCGGCCGCGGTGAGGGACCACCCCCTGCGCACCCCCTGTGGTGTCGAGGAAGTGCCACGCCTGCTATGCCCTGGACGACCGTCGTGCATAGCGGCCGCGGTGAGGGACCACCCCCCTGCGCACCCCCTATGGTGTCGAGAAAATGCCATGCCTGCTATGCCCTGGACGACCGTCGTGCATAGCGGCCGCGGTGAGGGACCACCCCCTGCGCACCCCCTATGTGTCGAAAATGCCACGCCTGCTATGCCCTGGACGACCGTCGTGCATAGCGGCCGCGGTGAGGGACCACCCCCTGCGCACCCCCTATGGTGTCGAGAAAGTGCCACGCCTGCTATGCCCTGGACGACCGTCGTGCATAGCGGCCGCGGTGAGGGACCACCCCCTGCGCACCCTCTATGGTGTCGAGAAAGTGCCACGCCTGCTATGCCCTGGACGACCGTCGTGCATAGCGGCCGCGTGAGGGACCACCCCCTGCGCACCCCCTGTGGTGTCGAGAAATGCCACGCCTGCTATGCCCTGGACGACCGTCGTGCATAGCGGCCGCGCTGAGGGACCACCCCCTGCGCACCCCCTATGGTGTCGAGAAAATGCCACGCCTGCTATGCCCTGGACGACCGTCGTGCATAGTGGCCGCGGTGAGGGACCACCCCCTGCGCCTGCCCCTGGACGAACGTCTACGGGTGGTGAGGGACCACCCCCTGGTGTCGAGAAAATGTGGACGACCGTCGTGCACAGCGGCCGCGTGCGCACCCCCTTGGTGTCGAAAAGTGCCACGCCTGCTATGCCCTGGACGACCGTCGTGCATAGCGGCCGCGTGGGGACCACCCCCTGCGCACCCCCTATGGTGTCGAGAAAGTGCCACGCCTGCTATGCCCTGGACGACCGTCGTGCATAGCGGCCGCGGTGAGGGACCACCCCCTGCGCACCCCCTATGGTGTCGAGAAAGTGCCACGCCTGCTATGCCCTGGACGACCATCGTGCGTAGTGGCCGCGGTGAGGGACCACCCCCTGCGCACCCCCTATGGTGTCGAGAAAATGCCACGCCTGCTATGCCCTGGACGACCGTCGTGCATAGCGGCCGCGGTGAGGGACCACCCCCTGCGCACCCCCCAAGGTGTCGAGAAAGTGCCACGCCTGCTATGCCCTGGACGACCGTCGTGCATAGTGGCCGCGGTGAGAGACCACCCCCTGCGCACCCCCTATGGTGTCGAGAAAATGCCACGCCTGATATGCCCTGGACGACCGTCGTGCATAGCGGCCGCGGTGAGGGACCACCCCCTGCGCACCCCCTATGGTGTCGAGAAAGTGCCACGTGCTAGGTTTTTCGACAGTGCCGTGGAGCTGTGCTGAGCTGTGCTGAACTGTGCTGTGCTGCGCTCTGCTGCACTGTGGTGCGCTTGCTGTGCTGTGCAGTGCTGTGCTGAGCTGCGCTGTGCTGCGCTGTGCTACGCTGTGCTGCGCTGTGATGTGCTGTGTGAGGGCCGCGGGTGGGGTGTGAGGGCCGCGGGTGCGACGAGGCAGGGAAGAAAACCAGAACCCAACCCCACTAAGCATGTGGGGAAATACCCCCCGAATATTCAAAAATAGTAGAAAAATCGTCGCCGGACCATTTTTTACCATTTTTGAACACTCCTCCTGAAGAGGGACAGGCCCGACTCAGTGTCAGGGCCTGCGGCCCAGAAGCTCCCAAAGCGGCGCCGCGCGCACTGCCGAGCACAGCTGCGCCCCCGGAGTGGGGCCCCACGGGCGCGAGCGCCGTCCGAGACCCCGGGAGGGGCCTCGGAGGGCGCGCGCCGGAGCCTCGCCCTCTTCGAGGCGTGGGGCCCCGACCGCTCGACCAGTCATCGGCCTGACCTAGGGAACGATAAATAAGGAACGAAGCCCCTTCTCATCCCAAGGAATAACGCATAAGGAACGATAAACAATAAATAACGCATAAGGAACTGTAAACAATTTTTTTTGTTTACATGGGAGCGGACAACATCCTACCACAGCTGGCGCCAAGTAGTGGATGCCGCCAAACGCGGAAGGCAAGAGCAAAATGACACCACAGATGAGGAACTGTAAACAACGCATGCAAGCCTAAGGAACGACCGAGCCCCTTTTGAAAAGTAAGTGTTCCTTATTCAAGCCGCTCACTGTAAGTCGGGCGCGTCCCCATATAGGGGGATTATGGGCGAAGAATGAAAAAAAATAAAACAAATACTCCAAGATGGCCAGCAAATAATCCAAAAATAGTCCCCAGACTGTTTTTTTGACGATTTCTGGATATTCCCCTTGTAGAGGGACAGGCCCGACTTAAAACCAGTCATTCGTCCCGAGTCGGTGTCTGGCGGTCCCGAGGCCCGGCGAGGGCCCCCAGGGTTGTGAGGTTCGCTGCCCTGCGTTGTCTAGACGTTGTCTTCACAACCGTCTTCCTCGGCTCCCTAAGAGGCCGACAGCGAAGAGAAGCCTCCGTCTCGACTGTTTCGGGGCGCCGGGTGTCTGGGGAGGGCGGCTCAGGACGACGAGGCCCGAAGGAGGCGAGGGGGAAGCAAAACGAAACAAAGCAAGCCAAATTTACAAAACGAAGCAAAGCGTAAAATGCCCAAACCGAGTACACAAAACCAGCCAACACTAACACTTGCACGGACAAAACAAAGCAAAACAACACGAAACGCAAGCGAGCAACAACTGCTACCAAATTTATGGGCAAGGAAACAGCATGTCAAACATCTGGGTCAATTAGAAGTTTGTTTTTTTAAACAACCTGGGTGAACTTCTGTTGTGGACGAGCGAACGTGCTCAAATAACTGGGCCAGCCTTCGGGCAAGCCGGGTAAGAAACGCTGGCCCAGTTCTTCGGGAGGAAGTTTCTCAATCTGATGCTCGACTGCATTAACAAAAAAACAAGTGAGACATATGAGCGGATGAGTAGATGGACGGAGAGCGGAAGCGTGAACGGAGATGGGCTGATGTGACGACACTTGTGGCCAGGACTTCATACCGGCTGGCGCCTCCCCTCCTCCTCCGCCTGCTCCTCCTCTGCTTCCTCCTCATCCTCCGCCTCCTCCTCCTCCTCCTCCTCCTCCTCCTCCTCCTCCTTCTCCTCCTCCGACCCATCTCCAGAGAGTTCGGCCTCCTTATCATCATCCCCTCCCCTCCCCCATCCCTCCTCGTCCTCCTTTTTCGTTCTCCGCCTCCTCTGAGTCTTCCTCCTCCTCTTCCGCCTCCTCCTCCCCCCCCTCCTCCTCCTCCTCCTCCTCCTCCCTCCTCCTCCTCCTCCTCCTCCTCCTCCTCCTCCTCCTCCTCCTCCTCCTCCTCCTCCTCCTCCTCCTCCTCCTCCTCCTCCTCCTCCTCCTCCTCTCCTCCTCCTACCATCGTCCTCCCTCCTCCTCCTCCTCCTCTTCCCTCTCCACCTCCTCCTCCTCCTCCTCCTCCTCCTCCTCCTCCTCCTCCTCTTCCTCTCCTTACCATCGTCCTCCTCCTCCTCCTCCTCCTCCTCTTCCTTCTCCACCTCCTCCTCCTCCTCCTCCTCCTCCTCCTCCTCCTCTCCTCCTCCTCCTCCTCCTCCTCCTCCTCCCTCTCCTTACCATCGTCCTCCCTCCTCCTCCTCCCCTCTTCCTTCTCCACCTCCTCCTCCTCCTCCTCCTCCTCCTCCTCCTCCTCCTCCTCCTCCTCCTCTCCTCTTCCTCTCCTTCATCGTCCTCCTCCCCTCCTCCTCCTCCTTCCCTCCTCCTCCTCCTCCTCCTCCTCCTCCTCCTCCTCCTCCTCCTCCTCCTCCTCCTCCTCTTCCTCCCCTCCCCCCCCCTCTTGTCCTCGTCCTCGTCCTCCCCCCCTCAATCCCAGCGACGCGCGCGCACGACGTCGAAACCTCCCAGGCCAAAGCCCTTTCGGCGGCCGCGGCTCCCGCGATGGAGTCGTCGGCGCCCTGCACGCGCGAGTCAAAGTGGACCTCGAGGTCCTGCAACTTCACCTGGCAGGGGCCAGGGGGGAAGGAGGAGGGACTGCAGATGAAAGAGGAGGGGAGAGGGGGGAGGAGAGGAGGAGGAGGAGGAGGAGGAGGAGGAGGAGGAGGAGGAGGAGGAGGAAAGAGAAGGAGGAGGGAGGAGGAGGAGGAGGAGGAGGAGGAGGAGGAGGAGGAAGGGAAAGGCGAGAGACGGAAAAGGAGGAGGAGGAGGAGGGGAACGAAAGAAGAAGCAACAGGAGAAGGGAGGAAGGAGGGGGCAGGCGAGGTAGGGAGAAAGGAAGAGAGAGAGGAGGGGCCGAGGGAGGAGGACACCGGGGGAGGGGGGACAGCATCCGCGCCCGTGTGGCAGGGCGCACGGTGCGCTCGTCTCGCCGCGGGGGCGCCTCCTTGCAGCGAGAAGGAGCACCTGTACGGACGTATGTCGCAGGAGGGATGGCGTATTTAAGCACCGTGGATGTGCCCTGCGATCAACTATTAACATGTACACATAGCTACTCACACACACACACACACACACACACACACACACACACACACACACACACACACATCCACACCCACACCCACACACCCCCACACCCCCACACCCCCACACCCCCACACACCCCCACACCCCCACACCCCCACACCCCCACATCCCCACACCCCCACACCCCCACACCCCCACACCCCCACACCCCCACACCCACACACACCCACACCCACACCCACACACACCACACATACACACACACGTACACACACACACACATCTTGTAGAAACAAAGTCCCCCCCAGGCTCGGGGGCGCCCACTCCGCAACCATGCGGGCAAGCCTTGTGCTGCCCCCTCCCCTGGGCCTCCAAGGGGCCTCAAGACGGCCCAAGAGGCCGACAAGACGGCCCCGGGAGGCCCCCAAGATGGTCGAAGAGGGACCCGAGACGGCCAAAGATCGCTCCAAGACGGCCCAAGAGGCCCCCAAGAAGCCCCAAGAGCGCTCCAGGAGGACCCCAAGAGGGACCAAACTGGCAAACATCAGTGTTATTCCTTATTTGGTTCGATGTTTGTCGCATTCTCGCGTTATGGGCGTCCGATGCTCCAAGATGGCCCCAGAGGCCCCATGACCGCCCCAAGACGGCCCAAGAGGAGCCCGAGAGTGCCTCAAGAGAGCCCCAAGACGGCTCAAGAGGGCCCCAAGAGGGGCCCAAGAGGGGGAACACGAACCGACAAATCAAGCCTTCGGCCCCAAGAGGCCCCCCATGAAGACCCAAGAGGCCACCAACAGAGCCCAAGAGGCCCCCTAGAGGCCCCAAGAGGTGCCCATGAGGCCCAAAAAGAGGCCCCAAGAGGCCCCCAACGGCCCCCAAGAGGCCTCCAAAACTGCCTCCAAGAGGCCCCCGAGAGGCCTCCCACGATATCCAAACGAACTTCCAAGAGGCCTCTAACCCACAACCAAGGCACGGTGGCGGGATGGCCCGAAGGCCACTAGACGGTCCAAGACGGCTTCGAGACGGCCCTAGAGTCCCTCAAGATACCCAAGAGGCCTCCAAGAGGTCTCCGAAGTGACTCGAAGAAGCAAACCATACTAAAGTTCCGTCAGTTTTTGAACAATTGTGGCGTTTCCGCCGGCTTCGCTTCCCGACGCTGCAAGACGCCCCAAGAAGCCCCGAGGATCGCTACAAGACAGCCCAATAGGCTTCAAAAGCCCCCCCGGACTGAAACGGCCGAGGAGATGTCCAAGACTGCCCGAGAGCGCCACAACCGCGGCCCAGGATCGGGAACGTGAACCGAGAACCCGAGATCTTCGCCACAAGAGACCCCCAGTATGCCCCAAGAGGTCACCAAAAAACCTCAAAGAGGCCCAAAAGAGCCCGAAAGACAGGCCCCGAGGGTACTTGAAAAAGGGAATTCCAACATCCTTCGTTTTTTCAAGTTCGCCTGGCAGCTTCGCTACGCTTGCAAACAAGAAAATATGATATATCCTCCTCCTCCTCCTCCTCCTCCTCCTGCTCCTCCTCCTCCTCATTACCCTCCTCGTCCTCCTCCTCCTCCTCCTCCTCCTCCTCCTCCTCCTCCTCCTATTCCTCCTCCTCTTGTTCATCCTCCTCTGCGGCCCCCTCTACGCTCTAGAACTCCTCATCATACCCTTCCTTCTCCCCCAGGGAACCCCTTCAACTCCCCTTCTCCTCCCTCTTCCTCTGGCTACGTCCAGCCGCGGCGAATAAAAAGACACCCGAAGTGCCTCTCGGGTCTGTCTCAGGCCGCCGTGGGTGGTGGACCGAAGGGAGTCTTGGAAGCCACTTGGGCCATCTTCGTAGTTCTTGCAAGCCCCAGAGAAGAAGCATCACAACATAGAAGTCCCCAAGAGTTCGATCATCCAGCCTGGCTAGAACTTGAGCGCGCGCGCGCGAAGCGCGCGCGATCGTTCTAGTGTATATGTGTATGTGTACACACATGTGTGTATGATATCACCCCCCGTCTCCTCCTCCTCCTCCTCCTCCTCCTCCTCCTCCTCTTCCTCGCCCTCCTGGCACAAGATGTCGTCCTCGTCGTCCATGTCTTGCCTTATCCTCCTCCTCCTCCTCCGCCTCCTCCTCCTCCTCCTCCGTATGCTCTTCAGCGCCCCGTCCTCCTCCAACTGATGCTGCCGATGGTCATTCTCTTCCTCTGCCACACCATCCTCCTCCTCCTCGCCTTCAAGTTCACTGCCCTCGCCCTGCTGATGATGTGTTCCTCGATCTTGATGCTGCTAATCCTCCTGCCACCTCCTACATACATATGATACTCCTCGTCCTCTTCATTTCCCTCTCTCTCTCTCTCGTTCCCTCTCCATGTCTCGCTCTCTCTCTCTCTCTTTCTCTCCCCACTCCTTATCGCTACCACTATGACTCGTCATGCTTCTTGTCATCCTCCTCTTTCCCCCCTGTCCCCTCATCACCCCCTCTCATCTTCCAAGCGCTGCTGCTTTTCACCCTCACGTCCCGTCCGCTTCCGATGTATTCCTATCCCGCTCGTGGTTCGAAACGTATTCCTGCTGCTGCTTCTCATATCCCTCCGCAGTTTCGCTAGTCATCCTCGTCCCCCATTCTGATGCTGGTGATCCTCTATTGCCTCCTGCTACTGCTGCACCCTCTCTCCCTTGCCTGTCTCACCCATAATTCTCATCCTCATGATCCTCCTCATCCTCACCCTGATCATCAGCATCCGCATCCTGATGTGAATCACGCTTTCCCCCTCCCCAGTGCCATCCTGCTCGCCCGCCCGCGTTTCACTAATTGCTCGGCCTCGTCACACCACCAGGCTTGTAAGGGCCGATCGTAGATGGATGAATTGCAACGAATAGTCACCATCTGGCAAACAGACTCAGTATTCCACACATCTACACGGACGAATAACGGGTCGTGCCCGGACTTCGGATGCCACTTGAGACGGTTGCAAGCCGACCGATACCAAAACCGAGCGGCTACACGAGTGGACCCTCCAAGGAGCAACATATTGTTCGACTGGGCCATAAAGAATTGCCATGCAACCCGGGCCCTCAGACTTGTTCAGGGATGGAGGCTGGGTAGTTTGCAACACCGCGCTCTCGCCTCGGTGCCTCGGATAGAAGCAGGGGGCACGACCCCCTCAAGCGCATCGCCCTTGAACCGTATTCGGCCGATGTTGCATGCCACCGCCCGCTCTCATCACATAGCCGCGGGCCGCAGAGAGGCGGGTACGACCCCCCGGCTGCCATCAGTCCGCAGAGCCTCTTTTTGATCCGCGGCGCCTCGGACTCGAGTTGCGGCCAGGCTACCACGGGGCTGCTGTGGAGCGAAGTAGGCACAAAGGCGAGAGGAAGGCGGGAGGGATTGGGGGAGAGGGCTGCGGACGGCCCGAGCGCACTCAGAGCATGAAGCACTTCGGGATGTGCTGGAGACAGGCTTGCGTCCTTGTCGTTCACAATACGTGTACAATTTCGCAACGCCCCCCCCCCCCAAAAAAAAAACAACCCTTCCCATCTTCCACATAGCTTTCGTAACGGCGCTTGTTGTCCACCTCCTTGGAGAACGGGGGCCCCGTGTGGTGGTGGCATGAGGCGGACCGAAGCGCACGCCCGTGTGTCCCGCCGCACATGCCCCCGCTGATGCCCCCATGTGCCCTCGCGAGGCCTGACAGCATTCCACGGCGGTGCGCTGTCAAACGGAGAAGACAGTGGCAGTGTGAGCGCGGGGGGGTGCGAGGGGTAGGAAGGGGAACAGGAACGAGCTGCGAGTGGCAATGTGAAGGCGCGGACCAGTGGACAAGACGCGATACCCATTTGGGGCCGTAGTTGCGACTGAGTCGGCAGGGAGCACCAGAGGAAAATCCACAACACGACCCAACCGAGATTGCTGTTTTACCCTTTTGCGCGTAACGGTCGTTACCGGGCCCGATTAACGACCTGTACAGGAAATATGTATAATTTCCGGAAAAGAGGTAAACATTAGCCTACCAAGAAAAATATAATCAACATCTCAAAAGAAGGACACGCCTCCCCGTCAGAAGCAAGAGTGGGCCCCGTCCCGTGCTGACAACAGCGGCAGAGGGAGGAACAACACAGACGCGAAGCCGTCTGAATGGGCGACGTCTGTGCGCCGCGGGCGGATAGCGCGAGTGGCCTGCAGGCTCGCCACCAGTGCCTCCGCAGCCTTCTGGCGCTTCTCCGCGGCCTGATCAACACGGCGCACGCTTGCACTGCGACGTGTGCTCACCATGCCGCTGAGAATCCAAAGCGGTTGCAGGACACTGCGCGCTTCTACTGCAGAGCAGACGCTGCCGCCGCGGCGCCGATAGTCTATCCTTGCCCGCAGCTGTGCACGCCCTCCTGGAACCTCCTCCTGATTTTCCTCCAACGCCATATCCTCTTCCACATTTCGTCCTCCTGCTTCTCACCATTCTCCTCCTCCACCTCGTGGTCCTGTTCCTCCTCCTCCTCAGAATCTCCATCTCCTCTCCTTCTTCCTTGCGCCTAGTGCACCGTATACAGTGCCTCATCTGCGCCAAGTCCTCTTCTATGTGCCCAGACAGCGACAATATTTGTCCTGAGTTGCCATCGCTCTTAAACTTCCTTCCCATCACTTTCCAATGCACCACTCCCAGCGGTAAGGGGGGAGGGGAGGAGGGACCACGAGGAAAAAGGAGGAAGAGGATTACGCGAGGTAGGAACAGGAGGGTGGACATATTTTGTATATGTGTTTATATTAATAGATAGATAGAGAGAGAGAGAGAGAGAGAGAGAGACAGAGAGAGAGAGAGAGAAATATAGAGAAACTTGACAAACTTAATACATATAGAGAGAGGGAGCGAGAGAGAGAAAGAGAGAGAGAGAGAGCAACGAGAGAGAGGTAGAACGAAAGAGATTGAGAAAGAAAGAGGGAGAGAGAGAGAGAGAGATAGAAACAAACAAAAAAACAACACGAGAGAACGAGAGAGAGAGAGAGGGAAAGAGGGAGAGCGAACGAGAGCAGAAAACACGTGGTCGTCTGGTGGGGCGAGCGGCGCGCCCTCCCGGGCCAGCTGCGCCGCTCTCGCCCCGGGCCCACGCTGCCTGCACCGCAGAAACGACGGGTCGTTCTTCGGGGAGCTGTCCAGAGCTGGCACGCCAGGAAATGCAGGTGCGTCGGGGACCTACAGGGGCGTGTTCCCTATTTTCGGCCCCAGGGGGCCCTCGCCGGGCCCCAGGACCGTCAACAAACGACCCAGGATGACAAACCGGCCCCGGGGAAAGGGTCGGGACTTTCGGGGACGCCGTCCTGAAAAAATCAGGACGTCGCATGTCTGGGGAGGCCAGTCCACGAGACACCTCCCACAAGAAGCCCAACCCTGAGACCCCGGGACGTCCACAGGTTTTTGGACCCGGCTATCCACGCCTTTATCTGCGTGGACTGGCCTGTCACTTGCGCATACTGCAACCACAACGCTCACAGACAGGCCAGGGCTCGCGCGGATGGAGTAAAGGCTGCCCAAGCGGTCCACAGAACGCGGTCGCAATATCTTCCGTCTGGAGGGAAGCTGATCCTAGCCATCTTTGAGTCATGGGGCCGGCCCGCTGTCGAACTGGTCGCCTTCGTGCGCTCGAGCGGTCGGGTTTTACCGGAGGCCGAATGGTCGGTTGTGATCTCCACCGCTTGGAGAAGATTCAGCGCTGCTCTGGGGAAACCAAAATGTACTGATACTGCTACTCCCAGGACCCCTCCCAGGCTAGGATCTCGAGGCGAATCCGGCGGTGGCGACGAGGGCCACCCAGGAAGCCGAAAAAGGAGAAAACGGGCGAAGGGTAGCGGTATGAGTACCATTTTCTCCTTTCAAGCGCTGGTCGGCATTCGGCAACGCTGAGACTTGGGATCCGCCGAAGGGGGGGTGACCCTGAGGGGGGGCATGAGTTCGATCCGCTGGTGCACCGAACTACCGAAAACAGGACGAAGCCAGGACGAGGATGAATTCGAGCAAGGACAGATCGTCCTCGTCCTGGCCCAGCCCGGCTTCAATGCCATGTGTTTGACGTATGCTCCTATAGATTGGGCCTCACCTGGAGCACGAATCCTTGATGCCATACGTACGTGTCTGTAGATTGTCCTTATCCTGTGTACTTATGTTCCTATAGGGCCTCTCCTGGGGCACGAGTCCTTGTTGTTTTACGTGTGTTCCTATAGATTGCCCCCTTCTCCTGTGGCTCCAATCGGCAATGTTTTATGTACGTCTGTTGCTATAGATTGCGCCTCTCCTGGGGCACGAATCCTCCCTAGGAGGTCCCAGGAGGCCCCAGGAGGCCCCAAGAGGCTCCTGGAGGCCCCAGGAAGCCCCAGGAGGTTTCAGGAGGCCCCAGGAGGACACAGGCTCATGCGCAGAGACGCGCTCGTACTACTGAGGCTCACTCACACACCAATCCATTATCACTTAGATTCATGACCAGACCGTCACAACTGAAGCCCGTTTATACTCGAAAGCTCTTGCGCCTAGACATTCACGGCGGACAGGTCCATGCGAATAGACACAAGCTTATTCACACTCAGACCTACTCATACTCAGATCTACTCCTACTCATACTTACTCATGCTGAGACTCACTCATACCCAGACTACCTCATACTCGGAATTGCGGGGCGCTGGTTTCAGCACCCCTAATGGGAGCCGCCAGGGGTGAGTTCACGGTCCCGTTCGCGGCCGTTTTGTGGGGATGTCTCAAGCGGTTTGATTGTTTTCTGTCTCAACATCCTTGGCTACCAGAGTAGATTACGCGGATGTCTCAAGCGGGGCGCTGGTTTCAACACCCCTAGGGAGAGCCGCCAAGGGTGTGTTCAAGGCTCCGTTCGTGGCCGTTCTGTGGGGATGTCTCAACATGGTATTCGCATGTTGCGTTGCATGGCTAGACGCGCATTCCCAGATCCCACTGACAACTATCCTTGTCAAAAGATGCACATATGGGGATCTCCACGCAGTGAGTAATTCAATGTTGAGGCTTGTTCACTTTTCGAGCTTCCGACGTTCCGCGGCGTCCGAAGAGGCCCCCAGACCGTCCCAAAATGGCCCCAAGACGGCCCAAGAGGGCCCCAAGAGGAACCCAAGAGGGGGAAGACGGCCCCAAGAGGGGGGCCAAAAATGGGGAGCACGAGCGGAAAATCTGAGCCTTCCGCCCCAAGAGGCCCCAGGAGGCCACCAGAGTCCCCCAGGAGGCTCCAGAAGGCCCCCAAGATGCCCCCACGAGGCCCCGAGAGGCCCCCCAGAGGCCCCAAAGAGGCCACGAGGTGCCCAAAACAGCCCCCCAGAGGCATCAAAACTGCGAGGCGCCGAGAGGCCTCGACGAGATCCGAACGAGCATCCAAGACGCCACAGACCCGCAACCCAGGCGAGAAGGGCCGAAGGCCATTATATTTATATCTCTATTTATGTGTGTGTACACACACACACTCATATACACACATTTAACTGTCAGTATATTTCACTCGTACATGATAACTAAAATTATACGTGTAAACACATATCCATACACAACTACATGTCCGTTTACAAAAACGTACGTAGAGAGAGAGAGAGAGAGAGATGTACACATACATATAAACAAACAGAAAGAGAGAGAGGAAAGGGAACGAGAGAGAGAGAGACAAAGAGAGAGAACGAGAGAGAGAGAGAGAGCAAAACACAAGACTGAGAGATAGGGGGGACAAGGCCAGGGGGTAGCAAGATGGTATCCTCCCCCTCCTTTTACTCCTCCATCATCACCATCACCATCACCATCATCACCATCATCCATCATCATCATCATCATCATCATCATCATCATCATCATCATCACCATCACCATCACCATCACCATCACCATCACCATCACCATCATCATCATCAGCATCATCAGCATCATCAGCATCAGCATCAGCATCATCATCATCATCAGCATCATCATCATCATCATCATCATCATCTTCATAATCATCATCATCATCATCATCATCATCATCATCATCATCATCATCATCATCATCATCATCATCCCCTCTTTTCATGGTTCCATTTCCTCCTCCCACTGCTTAACCTCGTCATCTTTCTCATCAAACTGTTACTCCTCGTCGTCGTCCTCCTCCTCCCCCTCTCCCCCCGTTAGCCTGGGTCCACATCGGTCTGGCCTAACCTGGGTCTACTTTGCTCACCGACTCACTGTGATATGTTTCGCATCCCATTAGAACTCGCAATCAACCAACGCATCCCCTCGTATACTCCGTCCCTGATTCCTCCACCGCCTATGACGCCTCGCCCTTCTATCCCCCGTGCAAACTTTTCCTCCTTCCATGATTCCCTCTTCCTTCCCTCTCCCGCTCCCTCTGCGTTGGATTATTAGTTGCACGCTTCCCTCTTCCTTCTCCGCTGTCCTAATCTTCTCTCTTCCCCAGTCCCCCCCCTCTGACAGCTTCCCGCCACGACGGCGTGGTCTGTAGCTTCTGTCGCCGCGTGAACCGCCCAACTCTTGTCCGCTGCTGGGCTCCCGCGGAAGCCGTCGGAAATCTTCAGTCTCAAGTGCACCGCGCTGCGTTGCCGCCACTTCAAGACGACACGAGCATATCGTGATTGTCCTATGCTCCCCATCTCTCGTCATCTCTTCCCCTCCTGCTCCTGCGCTCTTCCTCCTGCTCCTGCTCCTGCTCCCTCAGCCTATCGTTCCCTCCTGCTCGCCTGCCGTCTGCCTCCGCTCCTGTCCACCATCCTCATTACCCCTTCTTCCCCGCTGGTGACACGCCACAGCGGGCTGCAACCAAGAGGGATGAGGCTCTGACTACAGGGGGCGCCCAGGGAAGGGCCCAGGGAGGCCGAAACCAACATCGGACACACGCTGGCACGGATTGTGGATCCATGGATCTGGCGCGTGGGCGCCAGATCTACGGATCGGGAAGGCAGTGCCGCCTGATTTGGCGACGAAGCGCGTCGATTTTGCTTGGACACAACGCCCATCGCTGATCCACGCGCCCTCATCCATGCATTCGTTTCCTCGACAACGAAAAACCTACCGACCCCATTCCCCCAAGACCACCCTCCTCCGCGGTGGCACTCCGGGACTCAGCGCTGACCCTGCCGGTCCCAGCGCGGCCTCCGCGATGTACTCCGCCGCGGCGGTCGCGTCCTCCGCGTGGTGCACCGGCTGCCTCTACCCCCTCCTCCTCCTCTTCCTCCTCTTCCTCGGCCTCCTCGACATCCGTCTCCTCCTCCTCCTCCTCCTCCTCCTCCACCTCCTCCTCCTCCTCCTCTGCCTCCTCGCCCTCGTCCTCGTCCTCGTCCTCGTCCTCCTCCTCCTCCTCTCCTCCTCCTCATCCTCCTCCTCCTCCTCCTCCTCCTCCTCCCTCCTCCTCCCCCTCCTCCCCCTTCTCCCCCCGCTCCTCCTCCTCCTCCTCCTCCTCCACCTCCTCCTCCTCCCTGGTCCACCGCGTCATCCGCCACCGCCTTCTACTTTCGGCGAGAGCTGCCGTGGCTTATCCTGCGGCTGTTCCTGCTTCTGCTCCTGTCGCTCTCCCTGCGGCCGTTCAGGTTGCACCACGTCCAGGCATTCTTATGCCGCCCGCACTCCTGCTCGAGCACGCTCAGGCCCCTTTTTCCGTCGCTGGCAGGGACCAGCGGCGCAGTGGAGGGACTGGCGGCGCAGTGACTGGCCGAGCAGCAGCACCGCCTCCACCACATGACGTGTCGCAACCTCTTGGGGTCTTCGGCGAGGCAAGTTCCCTGGGGGTGTTAGGTCAAGGCTCTTAACGCTCCACCGCCCCTTCAGACTGACAGCCCTGCTGAACATTACGTCTGAACAGATGGGCACGCCTCTCGTCATCACAAGCTGGCAGTGATGCCTCCGCCAATGCGTTTTGCGCATCCGTTTCTCCCCCGCGCCTGTCCCAATGGGTCGCCCCCCCGTCGCACATTCGGTCTTCTAGGCGCCGTGATCTCAAAACTCGCGCGGACGGATCGGACGCCCAGCCAGCCGCTGCACCTCGTCAGCCGTGCTTTGGGCCTGTAGCGCTGCTGGAGTCATGACTCGTCGGCAGTCTCTTTCTCTCTCCGCAGCCGCTGGTCGCGGTCCCCAGACGCCTGCGCTGCCGCCTGTGCCTGTCTACCTCCGCGGAGTACATCAAGGGCCACGTGCTTCTACAGGTACAACATGTATCTGTTTAGCCTTAAGACGTACCCCGAGGGCGAACGAATTCTGTAGGTAGGGCATGCCTGTGTACCCGCTTGCCGACCCCGCGCCTGCCATGGGCCGCCGCCGTTCGCTTTCCCCCTCCCCGCGTTCGAAGCGCGAGGACGACGGGAGCCCCCGCGCCAGGGCAATTGCTCCGTCGCCTTCCCCGCCTCGGGATCACTGGCTGCCCCAGATAGGCAGAATAATTTCGTCACGTGATGCGAAGTTCCCTCTCCCCCACCTGATCCTCCTCCTCCCTTTCTCCTCCTCCTCCTCCTCCTCCTCCTCCTCCTACTCCTCCTACTCCTCCCCCTCATATTCGCACCGCGTGACGGATCCAAGTCGCCGGCCAGAGCCACTACGACAACGTGCAGGGCTCATCAGGAGCTGGACGAAGGGGGCACCGATGCTGTCTAGCACGGAGTTTTGCCCGAACGCCAACGGCCTCCCTCGGGGCAGAACTGGGTTTAGTGGAACCTGGTTTAGTGATTTGTACCGGAGGCGCCCCCCCGTCCCATTTCCACTAACCGGAACTGCCGTCACCCGAAAAAACACAAGCTATGGCAAACATGGTTTAGTGATCCTGGCCACCTCAAAGGCTCCGGGGCCCTACCACTAGCCGGGTCCCCTTACCTGGGGTCCTGGCCATACCCGACTCCCCTGCAGTCCCGCTCTGCCTTCAGGGCCCCAGGCTCCGCGCAGCCCCCTCAACGGGACTCGGGCAAGCCTATCGCTGATGGCTCAGACTCGGTCCGTCGCCAGTGCAGGACGTGCGAAGGTCAATCGTGGCCCGTTACGCGAGCTCGTAGCGGGGGGCTTCATTGCCTCGAGTGCGGTCCCATGTGCAGAGCGGGCAGCGGATCTCTGTGCCGGCACGAGGACGAGGCTTGGCAGGCGTGGTTCGACAAGCGATCACTAGTGCTTCCCGCCATCTTCCCCATGCCAGGCAACAAGGCCGCATGGTTTCTTGTCCCGAGCCGTCCTGGGCTAATTTTTCTCAGACTGAAGGTCTGTGCCGTCTTTATTACAATAAATAAAATTGATATTACTGCCAATATCCAGAATAATAATCAACATACCATTGATTGGCCTCCTTGCGCGGTGCTCTTTGCTGCCACTCTCTCAGTCGTGCGCCTGATCTGTGCTCCTGGCTGTAGGCCCGTTCATGCTCTCTTCTTGTGGATTGTGCCCCAAGTCGTCCTCCTTCAGGATCGGGGGCGCGCAAGCATGGATTAGCGATCCATGGATTTCGCGCGAGGTCGCCAAATCCATGGATCGGGGGAGGTGCCCTGCCCCAAATGCGGCTGGTGCCGCCTCGTTCGGCGGCAGAGATCCGCCATTTCCCATGGAAGCGGGACCCGTCGCTGATCCACGCCCCCTTGATCAGGAGAACGCCCTAGACCCTGCGCGCTCACTCTGTACAGTTCTGTGTGGCGTGCGCTCGCTGTGCAGCGTCCAATCGGCCTGTAAGTGTTCGAGTTGTTCTCGGTCCTCGCACTCTCTGTCCCATTTTCTTTGGTGCATCCTTCGGTCGCACCCGCTTCTGGCCCCTTCGTACGTCCTGCCCCGCTCAGGAAGCACGCGTGCACCGTTTGCATCAGTACGTTCATGGTTGTTTCCCTTTCGGCAACAGCGGCTAGGTGCCTACTTGTAGTGCATCTCTTGCGCAGCATGCCCAAGCCTGTTTCTCTGGCGGCGTGCCCAAGTGAGTAGGGGGAGGGGGAAGGCTTCTCTCGGGTGTTGCTAGAAGTGCCCCTAGCCCAAGGTTCCCCTGAGCCCCTGGGGCCCTCATGGCCTCGTGAGGGATGCCCTGGAGGCCGTCTGGGCCACTCCGAGAATCTTGGGGGTACCTTGGGCCAGGGGTACTTCTAGCAACAACCGATTATCAGAAGGAGGCTGCTTCTTAGAAAACGCCGGCCCTGCATCTACAGACGAGGCCCGCGACTTCTGAGAAGCAGGGGAGCTTCTAAGACACCTTCCCCCGTCCCCCATACTTAGAGGCCTCCTCGAAGGGGTCGGAGTAGATGGGGTCGGAAGATCGCGCCGCACCGCGCTTTCATCGGCGAAGCATCGGCGACGCATCGGCGATGCATCGGTGTTGCACCGGCGATGCATCGCCGACGTGGGCGACGCATCGGCGACGTCGGGGTGGAGAAAATCGGGCTCCGCCTCGAGCCGCATCGCCGATGCATCGGCGATGCGGCGCGACCCTCCGACCCCATCCACTTCGACCCACCTAGGAGGCCCAGACTATCCCCTTCTGCGCGTGGCCGCCTTATATTATGTAAAGGGGGCTCTCAGCCTGCTCCCTTCCCCCGTGGGTCCCCCCTTCGCTCCCCCGTTGCGTCCGGACTCTCGCCGCTCATGCTGCGCGAGACTATACACGTTGCCTTCGTTTTGTGTTTGCCTCGTTGAAGACAGTGCCTTCCGATCTGCTTACTTCAGCTTGTCGCTGGCCCTGAACGCGGTCTCGACGAATGTCACTCTCACCTGTATCCAAGTGAGGGCTGGCGCTCCCTGTCGGTAGGGGCGTCCAGATGTATCAGCTGTGCCTATCTTGTTTTTTTCGGGTAAGGGTTGGTGGTGGCGTAAGTAGGGGGCCCGCGTGAGGTTCCAAGCGACACCCATCGCGCCCTGCATTCTGGCAGAGCACACACAGGGCGAAGCCACGCATCGCATCATCAACCTCCCTCCTCCTCCCCTTCCTCCTCCCCCTCCTCCTCCTCCTCCTCCTCCTCCTCCTCCTCCTCCTCCTCCTCCTCCCTCGACCTCCTCGACCACCTCGTCCTCCTCCTCCGCCCTGCGTCGACGAAGGCGGCGGCAGCAGTGGCAAAGGGGCGGCGGGGTGAGGAGGACGACGAATGCGTTGAGAAAACAAACGCGAGGACGACGGCGACGACGACGACGACGACCAGGACGACATCGACGACCACGACCACGACCACGATTACGACCACGACCACGACCACGACGACAACGGTGGCGACGACAACGGCAACGACGACAACGACGACGATAACGACGAGGAGGAGGAGAAACAAGAGGACGACGGCGGCAGCGGCGGCGGCAGCGACAAGATGTTCCGCGGCGGCTTCCTTCGCCCGCTGCACCGACTGCTGGGCGTGGTACGACTCCTCCCGCAGCAGCTGGTCCTGCTGGACCCGCAGCACCTCGCGGGCGGCACGCGCGCTGCAGATGGGGAGGGGGCCAGCAGCAGCAACAGCAGCAGCAGCAGCAGCAACACTAATCGAACATGTAGGGCCCGGAGCATCTGCTTACCGCGTCGCCGCGGCAGCCCCGGCGACGTGGTCTACCCTGCAGGCCGATAAAATGTCGTTCCACTCCGCGGGGCCAGAAGCATGAAAAAAAACTTGGGATGCTGAGGATGGGGGGCCGGGCCTGATTAGCGTGCACCTCGCTGGCGGCACGCGCGCTGCCATGAGAGGGGGCAGCAACATCAACATCAGCAGCATCAGCAGCAACACCAGCAGCAGCAGCAGCACCACCACCACCACCACCACCAGCCGGAATCGAAGACCCCCGGACCTCCAACGCCTCGAAAAGTTCGAAGCGGAGGTTTCTCGCAGTTTCTGGCCTCTGGGGCCCTGGTGTTGAGAAATGAGAAACGCCAGGCGTCTGGGGCCTTGCAGGTCACACCTTCTTCCCCTACCCTCCCTCCCTTCCTCCACGCATCCTCGTCTAACCGATGTAGAAGAGGATAAAACACTTAAGTTCCGCGTGGTTTCTTGAGTCGGCGCTGGACCCTCCTCCCTGGCGCGCGGAACGGCCCAACTCTTGGCGGCGCCTCTCCTGGCGCGCCGATCCATGAGATCCGCGCCCCCTCCCCCCATCCTCCTCTGACCGATGCCCCCCGTGTTGAGAAATTCAGGACGTCGGATGCCTGGAGGCGGCGCAGATCCCACCTGTCCTTCTTCAAACGTCAGCTTGCGATTAGCAAAAACGGAGGCGTGCAATTCAGCAACTGTCACCCTGCTCGGGCGAATCGCGGGGGGGCGCCCGCCAAATTGAAACGCGCGGCGGCGGCGCCGGTGATTGGCGCCGACGCCAGGCCGCCAGTGAGAAAGCGACAAGAACAGCACGGACTGGGAGGAGGGGGGGGGCGGGAGGCAAGGACGGCAGAAGCAGGGACCGTCGGCGCCGCCACCGCCACATGATGTCCCTGTTTCGCAGTCGGGCGGAACTCCCGTCGCCGTGATGGAACCGGGCCCTGAAGGAAGCGGCGTGGCAAGGCGGGCCCGTCGTCCGCCCCCTCCTGGCCCCCCTTCCCCCCCTTCCCCCCCTCCCCCCACTCCTGCCCTCTCCCCCTCCTCCTCCTCCCCTCCTCCTCCTCCTCCTCCCCTCCTCCTCCTCCTCCTCGTCCTCGTCCTCGTCCTCGTCCCGTCCTCGTCCTCCTCCTCCTCCTCCTCCTCCTCCTCCTCCTCCTCCTCCTCCTCCTCCTCCTCCTCCTCCTCCTCCTCCTCTCTTCCTCCTCATCCTCGCCTCCTCCTCTTCCTCCTTTTCCTCCTCCTCCTCCTCCTCCTCCTCCTCCTCCTCCTCCTCCTCCCGCTCATCATCGTCGTTCATGCCGTTTGCCATGATCCGCGGCGAGGTGGCTCCCCGAGCTCTCCGAGCCCAGGCGCGCGTGATTAAAAAACATGTTTCGCGCCCCGCGGGGTCTACTCATCAGCCCCTGGGGGGGGTCACCCATTTGCTAAGCACAAGCTGAGATTGCCATCTCCCCCCCCCCGAAACATACGATGCCCCTTGATTTTTCAGTACGCGCTCCACGGCAGCCCCGACCCTTTCCCCCGGATTGGCTTCTCATCCTAAGTTGTTCTTCGACGGCCCCGCGGCCGGGGAAGGGCCCTCAGAGGCCGAAGACGACAGATCATCGGACGCAGAGGTCGCACCCTCCGCATTCGTCCTGAGCCAAGACGAAGAGGCAAGACGACGCCAGCGGAGGAGGAGGAGGAGAAGGAGGAGGAGGAGGAGGAGGTGTCCTGCTTCTCTGCTCCCAGACGTTGGATGCCTGGGCCCCTCCCTCCCTCCCTGCCCCCGCAGTCTTGCTCCGACCGATGCCGCGCCCCCCTGGCTGGGGCGGGGGAGCGGGGAGAACGAGGCACGAGGCTAGGGGAACGGACAATGACATAACCATAAAAACTCGGAGGTATGCGCGGATTTCTCGGATCGGCGCTGGGGCCCCCTGGCGGCGCCTCCGGCGCCGCCCCTGGCGCGCTCCGCGCGCCAGGGATGGGGGTCCAGCGCCGATCCGAGAAATCCGCGCGGGCCTCCGAGTTTTTAAATTCGGGAGCGGCCAAGAGGGGGGTGTCCAAGAGGGAGGGTGCAAATCATGACCGGCGGCATGTGCGCAGCCCAGCGGGGGGGCCAGGGACGTAATGAAATAAGAAGAGGCGCCATGAAATCTCGGGAAATATCATGGCCCCTGCCATGATGTCCACCCCCCCCTAGTCATCACCCCCCTCTTTGCCGACCCCGATCTGTTTATGTGACTTTTTGTTCCCCTATGTGCAGCTGCCCTCCCCCGAGGCAGGGATGCCGGGGGATTTGGGGCGGAACATGAGAAATACTCAACAAGTACCCCCCACATGCTAAGAGATCGTCGAAACATCGTCCCCAGACTATTTTCTGACTACTCTTGATTGGCCCCTGTAGAGGGACAGGCCCGACTGAACCCTGTGTGCAGCGGCCCTCCCCCGAGGCAGGGCTGCCGGGAAGCTGGGCGCGGCCGCCGGAGCCCCGCCGGGCCTCCCGAGAGGCCGCCGGGCGCCCGCGGCGGGGGGCGGCGCGAGGCGGCGGCCTCTCGGCAGGCGCGGGGGCTCTGTTTTGTTCGCTGTTGGTTTCCAGGCGCCCTCGAGCCAGGAGACAAAAAACAGCGGCGGGCTCTTCCCTATTGGGGGGCAACGATAGGGGGGGATAGGGACCGGGGGGGAAGACATCGGCGGGCTCTTGCCTATGTCGCCCTCCTGAGGAGGAGGAGGAGGAGGAGGAGGAGGAGGAGGAGGAGGAGGAGGACGAGAAAGAGGAGGAGAGAGGAGGAGGACGAGGAGGAGGAGTCGAGGAGGAGGAGGAGGAGGAGGAGGAGGAGGAGGAGGCCCCTTCCTGGGAAACGAGCATTGCATAAACATAAAAACTCTGAGGTCCGCGCGGATTTCTTGGATCAGCGCTGGACCCCCCTCCCTGGCGCGCGGAGCGCGCCAGGGGCGGCGCCGGAGGCGCCGCCAGGGGGCCCCTGCGCCGATCCGAGAAATCCGCGCGGACCTCCGAGTTTTGTGTTTATGTCATTGTCTGGTCCCCTATCCTCCCCATGTCGCCCTCCTGGGGCCCCTTCCTGGGCCTCGGGACCGTCAGCAGAGGGAGCTTTTTTTTTCCAGACGCCCTCGAGCCATGGAACAGACATGGCGGCGGGCTCTTCCCCATGTCGCCCTCCTGGGGCCCTTCCTGGGCCTCGGGGCCGTCAGCAAAAAGATGCCGGATGCAACACCGGTGCCGGGTAATGGGTCGAGGCTTTTGGGGGCCGAGGTTCTGAAAAATCGTGACGTCGGGGGTTCTGGGTCAGAATCCATCCGGGCTTCTTCGAAACCTGCTCAGGAGCCTCACCGGCCCCTCGGGGAAGGCACTCGACTTCCCCAGACATCCAGCGTCTTGAGTTTGTCAGTGCCGGCTCCCCAAGGAGGTGTGGGTGGATCCTCTTTCCCTGGGGTCGCCTCGTCATCCCCAGTCGTTGTTCGACTGTCCTGGGGCCAGGCGAGGGCCCCCAGAGGCCGACAACTAACTGCGAGCAAAACTCCGCCTCGAGTTTCTCGACGGGTTGGAGGGCTGGGTCTAACAGGCACCCCGCCTTTCTTCGTCGGCCCAGTCGGTGGCGGACACTTTAGGGCAACAAGGCTGCTATCCGGCAACATCGCAGCAACCTTCGGGGCTGGAGGCTGTCGCGGTACAGCGGATACTGGCAGTTCTGGCGACGGCGTCCACTGTCTCAACCCACTCGCCGTTTCAGAAATCATCGGCTGCGTGCTTCACCATGTGCAATCCGACGCTCGTTGTCGAGGCCTGTGCTCACTCCTTCCCAAGAAAAGCGATGGCCGCTCGAACATCGTGGCCACCCTCCTCGTCCTCCTCCTCGTCCTCCTCCTCGTCCGCCTCGTCCTCCTCCTCCTCCTCCTCCTCCTCCTCCTCCTCCTCCTCCTCCTCCTCCTCCTCCTCCTCCCCCCATCACCCTCCTCCTCCTCCTCGTCCTCCTCGTCCTCGTCCTCCTCCTCCTCCTCCTCCTTCTCCTCCTCCTCCTCCTCCTCCTCCTCCTCCCGGCATTCATATAGTCCTACCGCGACGTGTTCTTAGAACCCAAATATGTCATGATAACAAAAACAATGTTCTCATAACAGAAACCCGATGTGTTAAAACAAAACCATCTCAACCAGAAATGTTCCAAGAACACTACGTGGATATCACAAAATATGATTAGAACGTTGTTCTGTAGAACTATAGGCGAGCAAGGACGCTTCGCCACTGCTTGACTGGCGGGGGCGCCGCCAGAGGAGGCCGCCAGCCGCCGCCCCGGCCCATCGCTCCTCGACACGGCGTCTGGACTTCGGTCGGGCACGTCCTCCTACAGGCGGACCTTGGAAGACAACTCAAACAGAGCCCCAAAGTACCCCAAACTAGTAAGAAGAGAATCCAGACATCGTCTCCGTGCCATGTTTCGACTATGTTTGAATACTCCTCCTGCAGAAGGACAGGTCCATCTTGAGTCTGGACTGTGCCACCTGAAATCAGCCCCCACTCCCTAGGAAACCTCCCAAATGAGGTCCGAGGAGCAGGGGGCGGAGGATGCTCTGGCGACGTCGGCGATGCATCGGCGCCGTCGGCGTGGAAAACATCGGGATCCACATCAAGCCGCATCGGCGATACCCCACGTGTTCGGGCTCCGGACCCCACCTGGGAGGCCTGGGTCCCCACGGCGCGCGCGAGCGCCTTCATCTCCTGATCTTGCGCCCGGGCCACCTCTTGTAGGAACTCGGAGGCCTCTGTGACCCTGGCCTCGGCCTCGCGACACATCGCGGCGTTCTCCTGCTCGGCGGCGAACCTCTCCTGAGGCGCCGACTGCAGACATCGTGCCACCACACGGACCGCCAGATAGGAGGCGGAGCGGCGTGCCTGGCCACGGCGAGCCTCGGCCCCGCAGAGCCCCCCCCGACCTCGACCCAAGGAGCGACCCGAAAGCCACAGCCCGCCCTGAACCCACGATGCTCCACGATTTCAGCGCCCAGGCTGAAACGAAATCGCCCAGGAGCGCGCGCCGCGCGCCGAGATGCGCGGGAGGCGCTTGTCCTCGCGCCCTGCAGAGGCCGCCGGGGCCGAGGGGGGGCTCTCCAGCCGGGGCCGCGACGTGCGAAGCGCAGTCGTCTTCGCACCCCTGCGAGTGACCCAAGGACAATCACAAGAAGAGAAGTACACAGCGGGACAAGAAGAAAAGTACACAGCGGGCAGGAATACATCGAAATCTCTGCGAGCCAGCGGGTCCCCAGGATGCGCGCCAGAATGGTCTGAGGTCGTTCCAGGACGCTCTGGGAGCGACCCGCATTCCTCGCAGGCCTGCCTGGTCGTCTCCGCCACCCTCCCTGCCTCCCCCCCTGCATCTTGATTCCGCGAGGCTTGCCGCCGTGGCGAGCCCATTAGATTGCGCACACCAGCCCGGAAACCAATCCAAGTACGAGTCAGAGAGTTGCCAACGCTGCGTCTAAAGCTAAAATCTCCGATGCGAATGCCGACGTTGCACCGGTCACCTGAAAACCTGCGTGCCCCAACATAGAAAACCCCCATGCCTTGCCGCGCCGTTGCACACAATGCAAGACCCAAGCACATCCAGCGGAACCGTCTCGGTACCGGAGGCCGCCGTTAGTAAGTTTCCGGTCAGGCTGCTTCGAGGCTGCTTCGGGGGATCCGCAAACTGAAAGACGCGAAGCGCTCAGAATGAGTCCAGAAGCGAGCCGGCGTCACGAGGATATACCGATCTGACACGAAGGCGCCGAAACTTTACCGAACTTGGGTAAATAATGCTCGGCCAATGCAATCCTCTCTAAATCGGCACTCAACGAAAGGAAACCATACAAATGCAACTTGAACCGATCGATCGAAGCCCCTGGGCCCCTCGAAAGCTCGATCACCCCAATCCCGCGGAAATTTGCTAGATTCGCTTCGAAATCCCCAAACACTGCGAATTCAGAAGAAACTGGCCGCCTTGAGCCAGAAGATCATCTACGGCAAGGGATCGGCGAAAAACCACTCGGAAATGACGCCCAAGCAAGAGGGTCGCCGCAATGATGCGTTGCTAGGCTTTCGCACGTGGAAGCGGGAGGGGGCGCAGGGGAAGAGCGAGAGGAAGAAAAAAAACAAGACAAGCGCGACGAGGGCAGGCCGCACGAAGAGGGTAAGAGAAGGGAGCATGGGTGAACTAGAGCTGGATTAGGGGGTTAGGGTTCGGACCTGGGGGGTTCGGGTTCGGGGCTTGTGGCTTCGGGCTTCGGGCTTGTGGCTTAGGGATTCGGGGTTGGGGCTCAAGGCAAAGGGCTTAGGGATTAGGGGTTAGGGCTTCGGGCTTAGGGTTCAGGGCTTGGGGCTTGGGGCTTGGGGCTTAGGGCTGGGGGCTTAGGGTTCGGGGTTTCGGGCTTTGGGTTCGGGGCATAAGGATTAGGGCTTTGGGCTTCGGGATTAAGGGCAAGGGCTCAAGGCTTTCGGCTTAGGGCGCAGGGCTTAGGTGTTCAGTCTCAGGGCTTGGAGCCTCGACCTTAGAGCTTAAGGCTTAGAGCTTGGAGCTGAAGGGTTGGGGATGTGGTCTTTGGGTTCAGAGCTTACGGATTAGGGGTTAGGGGTTAAGGCTAAGGGTTGAAGAATTAAGGTTCGGTGCTTAGGGTTCAGGGCGTAGGCCTTTGGGTTCAGGGCTTAGGGGTTAGGAGTCGGGGCTTAGGGGTCAAGGCTGGCTTAGGCCTCGGGGCTTAGGGCTTGGGGGCTTCGGGCTTCGGTTTCGGAGCTTCGGGGATAGGGCTCAGGGTTCAGGGCTTAGGGCTTAGGGCTCAAGGTTTCGAACTTAGGGCTATTAGGGGCTAGGGTTTAGGCTTCGGGGCTTCGGGGTTAGGGTTCGGGCCTCAGGGCTTAGGGCAGAAGGTTTGGAGCTTCGGGCTTCGGGTTCGGGGCTGAGGGCTGAGGGCTTAGCGCTTAGGGCTTAGGGCTTATGCTCCAGGCTCTGGGCTTACGGCCAAGGGTTCGGGGCTCAGGGTTCGGGGCTCAAGGCTCAGGGTTCAGGGCTTGCCGCGGAGGGCTGGGTTAGGGTCCGAGGGCTTAGGGCTAGGGCGCAGGGTTCTGGGCTTGGGGGTTAGGGCTCAGGGCTTGGAGGCCCAGGCTTCGGGATTGGGGTTCGGAGCTCGGGGTTCGGGGCCGAGGGTTCGGGACTTCGGGCTGAGGGGGTTAGTTTAAGGACTCACTCCCAAAGGGCTAGGGCTTTTTTTTTTTTTTTAAAACAAAAAAAAAAAAAAAAAAAAAAAAAAAAAACCCCCCCCCCCTCCTCCTTCCTCAAATTTTTCCTCCAAAAACCCCCAAAAAAAAAAAAAACCCCACAAAAATTTAAAATGGCTTAGGGTTCAAAAGATCACGGGTTTAAGGGCAATAAGGCTTGAAACTTAAAGTTTCGGGCTTAGGGTTGGGGCTTCGGTTTAGGGTTCGGGGCTCGTTATTGCATTTTTGAAGAGCTGCACGCTTCGGGATTTTCCCGCCAGCACCGCCCGCCACCCCACCCCCTAGTTTCCGCTGCTTCCAATCTACTACGCCTCTTTCCTCGTCTAATTCGTTTCCCACCTGTATTCGTGATTTCTGTCAGGGCTTGAGTTTACGGTTCGGGGCCTAGGGGTTGGGGTTCAGGGCTTGAAGCGCACGGCTCGGGGCTTAGGCCTCGGGGCCCAGGCCTTTGGGCGCAGACCTTAGGGGCTAGAGTTCATGGCTTAGTGGTCAGGGCGTAAGCTTTAGGCTTGACGCTAGCCTAAACTCAGTCAGCCAGCGTAGCCCGCGAAGTAAATGCCCGATGTGGCATCGAGATGTTTCCTGGCCCTCGAATTCTCTGGCGACACCGCGCGCGCCACGAGCGCCCCGAGACCGCCGACACGGCCCCGAGAAAATCCTCGAAGGACCCCGAGAAAAGGAAAAAGAAAAAAAACACTGGCTCCAATACCACCGAGAGGCTCAGACTCTGACGGACGACCCGAAATGCGCCACGAGATTCCTTCGGCCACCTTAAGCAAGCAACGTGCCGCAATAAATCGTCGATGGCGCCTTCGATCGAAACTCGTTGAGACGACGACCAGAAAAGCACGCAACTGGTATTTTCAGGCGCTGCTGCGAGCCCCGCGCCATCCGAATCTCGATTGCGCGCGGTAGCCAAGTGGCCAGTCAGGCGGTCGACGCATCGCGTCGAGCAGTTCTGTACGTCGCAGCGCGCACACGGAATCTACAAGGCTCGGCCGTACTCGCCCAAGCGGGGGGGGGGGGGGTGGGGGGGGGGGGTGGGGGGGGGGGGGGGGGGGGGGTGGGGGGGGGGGGGGGGGGGGGGGGGGGGGGGGGGGGGGGGGGCGGGGGGGGGGGGGGGGGGGGGGGGTGGGGGGGTGGTGGGGGGGGGGGGGGGGGGGGGGGTGGGGGGGGGGGGGGGGGGGGGGGGGGGGGGGGGGGGGGGGGGGGGGGGGGGGGGGGGGGGGGCGGGGGTGGGGGGGGGGGGGGGGTGGGGGGGGGGGTGGGGCGGGGTGGGTGGGGGGGGGCGGGGAGGGGGGGTGGTGTGGGGTGAGGGGGGGGGGGGGGGGGGGGGGGGGGGGTGGGGGGGGCGGGGGGGGGGGGGTGGGGGGGGGGGGGGGGGGGGGGGGGGGGGGGGGGGGGGGGGGGGGGGGGGGGGGGGGGGGGGGGGGGGGGGGGGGGGGGGGTGGGGGGGGGGGGGGGGGGGGGGGGGGGGGGGGGGGGGGGGGGGGGGGGGGGGGTGCTTGAGCACAGACCGCACTAGTACTCGCGCCGCTCACCTTGCACTGAGCACCTTCAATGCTCTTCGAATAAAAACACCTGCTAGAGGACTCGTCGCGACCCTGAGGTCGGATCCCCTACAGGCCCACGAATGCTGACCCTGCCTGCCCCGAAAGCCCCGCGCAATCATCACAAGTAGTCCTCGGCAACGGAGATGGGCTCCGCGGCCGTCAAGTCGACAAGCTCGCCGAGCTTGGCGGACATAACGTCCCACTGCTCCTTCTTCACAAGCGTCAGCGGCTCGGGCGCCGCCGACCTGGCTGCTGCAGCAGCGCCCCTCATGGCCCTGAGGATGTTCTCCATGCGGCCGTCTCCTGCAGGATCGATCTTCATCATGCCCAAGATCTGCTCGTAGTGCTTGATGCTCGCCGCGGTGTGCGTGAACCAACTCTTCCTCACGCCGTAGTGGACCTGCCGCTGCTCCGAAGCCACCTCCACGCAAATGAAACCCATGGGGATGTACAACGCCGCTCCAGGCTGCAACGTCTGCCGCCACATCCTCACCCCCGCGTCGACGAGGGGCCTGATGTTGGTGAGCTTGCTGACCGACTCCGTCAACTCCTGCGCCGCAGCCACGCCTGGGCACACTTCTGGAACCGCCTTCAGCATGGAATCGAGCTCGATCAGGAGGTGATCGCACTGCCCCGCCAGCAACACCTTGAAGCACGCCGCGTAGTTCGGCGTGAAGACCACCCGACGCATCTGCGGCGACAATCCGAAGAGCCACGACTGCGCCTCGAACTGGTCGCCACCTGGAATAGACGCCACGGATAGATCAAGCTTCGCGCCCTGGGGAGCCATAGACACCATGGCGTCCGAGACGGCCTGCCTGCACTTGTCGGTAAGCTGGGACTGCCCGATGCCCGTGCTGGCCACCGACTCGATCCTGGAGCGCCCAAAGAACAGCGGGGCCGACGCCCCCTGCCCCCGCCCCCACATCCCCCGTCGAACCCATCACCCCCGATTCTGTCAAGTCAGAACCAGGTGGCGAGGCGAGGGGGGGGGGGGCGGCAGGCAGGGCGCAGAAGGTGCCCGCG